AAATAAAGTCAGCAATTGTAGCGATTAGGTTATGTAGTTTTTACTGCATAGCCACCACTGTTCCATTTTTGTAACTGGTCCAAACTAATAAAGATAAAAGCAATAAATATATTGGATGGCAAATATTTCCATGTAGTGGAACATAGAGTAAATTAAATATTCATTATATTCCATATATTCCTTTTTCTAATTTTTTATCCCACATTTTTAATTTATTACACTGAACACTGACAAAGTGCAGCTTTTCAAAGTTGGTGACAGAGAGAAAAAGATGTTTAGCAGGTATAATGTTCACCATCTGCAAACCATGTGACTAGATCAAGTTTAAAATAATATTTTTATAGTTACAAAAAGGAGAGAAATATGTTTCCAGTAACAAGTGCAAACATGTCCAAAGAGTTTAAGGCAACTAACAGGCTCTGCTTGAATCCCTTGTACAACATTTCAATACAATCCATTTTATAGCTGTTGCAAGGTGGTGGACCGTTGAACATAATTTGGCATGCAAGACAATCCAAATATAAACATACTCAAGCTTTCTTTTTAAAAAGAAAAATACAAAAATGAGCACCATCTGCACCTCTGAAATTGCCTTCTGTCTTCCTCTCACTCTCATGTTAACCAGGAGGCAAAGTGAATAATATGATGCTGGAATTAGACCTAATCATGGCATTTTTTTGTTGTTTGTTTTGTTGCTGTGAGGCAACAGTGCACCACAGTGCTTCACAGTTTTGAACTAATTTTTAATTTTTTAAATTTTAACTTTTTAAATAATCATGTAAACAGTTTATCAAAGACAAACCCACATAAAACACTGGTGTCCCATGGCAACACCAAACAACGTGCTCTACAAAGAAAATATAAGGTCATCATCGGGAAGTGAGCACCGAATGTTTACTGACCTGGCTCTTGTGGATGGAGATGGCCCAGGCCAATTTGAGTGGCAGCTGCTGTCGGCTCAGGTGGATCCCACCACCGGACTTAAACACCCAGCGCTCTGGCTTCAGCACCTCTGTGACGCCGCACAGGAACCGCACACGTGGGAGTCCTGCGGAAAACAACAGCATTGGACAAGATGCCAAGGATGTAGACAAGTGTGTTTCCTAAAAAAGTCAAACTAATATGCAATCCTCTCTTGCCATTGCTTCCGTAGGATCTTTAACAAATATATTTTCACAGCTAGGAACGGACCATGTTTTCCAGACTCAAAATCAACCACGACACCTCGTGCTCCATTCACCAGACCTCGAGCAACATCCAAGTTCTTTGTCAGCATGACCTTAAAAATACAAGCAAGCAGTAAAGCAGGTGTTAAAAAGGGTTTGTGTAAAATAAAATGGTTTCTCTGGGAACACACACACACACACACACACACACACACCTGAGCTCCCACTTTGAGTTGGATCAGCCTGCCGACAGGACTGTGAGCATCTATAGTGTTGACCAGCACTGGGTCGCTGTCTAGTGCCTCAAACAGACGCGCTGACCCTAAGGAGCAGTGAGAGATTAATTCAACTGAAAACTAGTGGTACTTCTTAAAGGAATGTGTAAACAGACAGTAAATGTGATGGGGGAAATGAAAGGGAAGACCTTAAACATACATATAAAAATCTGTTGCTACTGTCGGCCAAATACACTCCAAAGTTTCCTGAATAGTTGTGTCCATGAAAATACTGGTACACCACTACAGGAAATGACAAAATCAGCACCTTGTTGAGACTGAAAGCACCTGTTTGGGGTTCATCTTGGGTGAAACTGGGCATTTGGGGAGGCAGAAACATGTAAACACAACTTGAATGTATAGAAACAGCAGGAAAAAGAGTCAGAGTTGAGCTTTTCACAAAATTATGGTTTTTTGTTCAGACGATCAGAAATGTCTATGCCAGTTAATGAAACAGTTTGGAAAATAAATAAATAAAACATTTCTCAAATTGCCAGGCAGGACAGACCACACAGGAAATGGATTATAACAAGATAACAAGGTTGTCCATTTTCAATTGGATCCAAACCAAACAAAGTAACACGTGTTTCTTTTTTTTGTGGGCGGGGCAATCAGAAGAATTCAGACCTGGTAATTGCTGGAGTTTGTTCTCGTTGGTGAGATCCACGTCATCTTTGTGTGTGCACAGCCTGGTCGCTAGGATACCGTCCCTTTCAATCTGATGGTTGGCACTTTTGATCAGCTTGGCTGTGACTTCCTCCGTCACCCTGAATTGTGTTAATTGACAAAAAAAAAACAAACAAACAAACCACAACCTTCCTTTAAAACTTTTCCTGCCCAATCAGACCAATTCAAAAACCTTAACAGCCTCAAGGACATTTATAACATAT